ATCACATTATGTGAAGAATGACGGGATATCCAAAGTGATCTGTTGGCTACTACAGGATCCAAAGGGCATCTGCACTATTGTATTGGCCTCATCTCACCACCAGAAGATTAGAGCAGAAAAGGGGGAATCCAATGGTTCTTTCCTTTCTTACACATCTCACTGTATGTAGTGTATTGTAATAGAAGGCAGGCCATGCCCCAATTCATAAGGAAAAAATAGGAATTGGGGGCAATGGTGCTGCCGTAAAGACCAAAACATATACAAAAGCACATTAAAAGGAAAAGCACGCACACAAACAAAAATACAGCTTTACATTTAACAAGGCTACTTAGAATCACCTATCTTGGCAAATAAATATAGGGATTCAGTTCCACCATATGGCCATAGTGTAGTGGTGGGTTTAGCACAATATTCCTCCAATTCATATGGAGTCCTGGAGATGCTTCCATTTATTAAATTATCTCTATACAACTTTGTGGGATGGGGGAATAATTGATTAAACGGGTCCTACTAGTCACAATAGCCCATTAATCTGTTTCAAATACCTCCTCATTCCCTTTATATGTTACCAGTGACTTCAATTATCCTCTAATTCTCTCTGGCCAGAGTTTCCAATCCCCCCCCATCCCCACCGAGAAAATACTGCAGGTCGAGGGCAGGGCCGGTGCAAGGATTTTTGCCGCCCTGGGCAAAAAAAAAATTGCCACCCCCCATATGTCCTGCCCATCATGTGACATCATAATGCCCTGCCCATATGCTCTGCCATATGGGCCAACGCCAGTCTTCACAAAGTGTCTTATATGAAAAGACAGAGTGTTTACATTAAAAAGCCTACAAGCACAGGCTATAGACACCAGAACATTAAGCTGTAGTGCTTCTGGTGACTATAGTATCCATTTAATGTGAGGTAAATTAGAGATTAGAGCCACTAATAATATATTGGATTGCCTACTTACCACAAGATGAGGACAAGAGGCTGATGATGGGCTCAGTCTGGCTCCACAGGTCTGGTGTAGAACGGGAAGCAGCGCCATTTTTTGGGGCACCTTTCACAGCTCAAGGTCTTGGGCCCCCAGGGCTTGGCTGTGAGTATGCCTACAATGCCCACCCATAAATCCACCTACATGGCCCACCCATGAGTTCTCTCACAGGTAGTGGAGTGTATGTGTATAGGGGATGTTTTATGTGTTATTGTAGAGGATGCAATGTGTGTGTGTGTTCTTATAGAATGTAGTGTATAGGGATCCCAATTGGTGAAAGGGATGTAGTGTGTGTATAGTGGATGCAGTATGTGTTTGCGTGTAAGGAATGCATTGTATGTTTCTGGGTGTGTGTGTGTGTAAGGGGTGCAAGGTGTGTTTCTGTGTATGTAATTGAATGTAGTGTGTGTCTGTAAGGGGTGCATTTTGTTTCTGTGTGTAAGAGAATGAGTGTTTGCGTGAGCATAAGGGATACATTGTGTGTTTCGGGTGTGTCTGTGTGTGAGTAAGGATGCATTGTATGTTTCTGTGTGTGTGTGGGGGGGGGATGAATTGTGTATGTGTGTAGGGTAAAAGAGAGCGTTTGTGGGGTAGGATAGGGACTGAGAGGGGAGCAGCTCTTTATTTTGTTAAAACATTTTCATAGTGCTCTCCCTTCCTGTCAATTAGTGTTCTCCCTTTCTGTCCCTTAGTGCTCTCCCTTGGCCCCCTGTCCCTCTGCAGTCCCCCCTTGGTGGTCTTCTCACTCCCCTCTCTCCCTCTTAGTGGTCCTCCCTCCCTCCCTCCCTCCCTCAGTGGTCCTCCCTCCCCCCCCTTTG